CCTCCTCTGCACTGGCTCCAGTAGGTCCATGTCCTTCTGATGTTGGTGGCCTCAGAACAGGACACAGCACTGTAGGTGGGGTCTCACCAGAGCAGAGTAGAGGGGCAGAATCCCCTTCCTCAACCTTGGATGGGGTTGGACTTTTTTCAGTGGTATCCAGCGACAGGACAAGGACAATGGGCACAAACTGGAACACTGAAATGGAAAGCTCCATCTGAAGATGAGGAGAAAGCTCTTTACTGTAAGGGTGGCAGGGCATAGGGACAGGCTGCCCAGAGACGTTGTGGAGTCTCCAAGACTGGGGAGATTCCAAACCCGCCTGGATGCCATCTTGTGCAGCCTGCTCTAGGTGAACCTGCTTTGGCAGCGGGTTTGGACGAGATGATCTTCAGAGGTCCCTTCCAACCCCCACCATTCTGTGATTCTGTGTCTTACGTATCTCCATGGGTGGAGACTCCACAACCCCTCCAGGGAACCTGTGCCAGGTTGGAATTTAAAGAAAAAAAAAAATTACCAGCAAAAATGGACCATTAGCCAAGTAACACACTGCTGTGGCTGTGTGAGAACCCCCACAGACACACAGAAGCTGCTGTGGGGGGGTTTCCTCAGGGTCCTCCTGTAGACACAGCCACGCCCTGATGGTCCACTGGGTTCTGCTCTGCCCCACGCCAGCTCCCCACCACCCTCACAGTGGGGGTCAGTGGAGGAACAGGTAACGGGACTGCTGCTGGCTCACACTCTGTGCGTGGCACCACCGAGGTGCCTGCTCCAGTGAGACTTACGTGCTCCAAGGGCCCATCTCTGGGAGCTGTCTGTCCACAGGAGATGAAGAATCAGCTCTGGCAGAAATGGCTCTCTGCAACAGAAGAAATGCATTGCCTGATCTCCTAGGTTTTTGCCTCTCATGCTCTCTGTGTTGAAGTGAAAATACCTGTCTTCCACCACTCTTGTTTTCTAGAGGGGGAGTGCAAAATGACACCTGAGGGTGCGCTGGAGAGGGACGGTCATGGAGTCCACACTGGCGCCAATGGAATTACATACGTCGGCAGATGGAAAAATGACAAGGTAATTTACAGTATTCCTTAATTTTAAACTTTCTGTGGGTTTGGAATGGAGCCTGTCGCACTATATCCACCCTTAAAAAGACACAGAAAGGAAAGTCATAACCTGAGAAGGATCAGGCCAATGCTGCAGGCTCTTCTTCCACTTGGGAATCTTGTCAGAGCCCAGTCTGAAGATCTGAGACACTTGGGGTCTTCAGATGTCCTTCTGCCTCCTGAGGTTCCTGCAAACACCTTGCTGGCAGGCAGGCAGGCAGGCCCCGGTGAAACACCCAGGCTAGGCATGGCCCTCCTGCGTGCGTACACACACCACACACAGCCCACAGTGAAACAGGAGCTCTGGCTATTGTTTGGCTGCCCTTGGTTACCAAGTTCCCCAGGAATGAATTACTAAGTATAGGAAAATTGCTTATTTTATTGATGCTGGAGAGGAGACAGTCCTTAAATAAAGGTCTGCAATTAGGAAACGGCATCTTGTGGCTTTATTAGATCTAGTCTGGCTTTTTTTTTTTTTTTTTTCCCTCTGTTTCAGTTTTTTACAGAAATTTTGGTGCAATGATAAGAATTAAGATTATGGCACAGAAGTGCTTTACAGCACAGATTTAAATCCCCAGGCTTGGCTTAGTAGCATAGGCTGAACAAATGAAAGACTTGCTCTGCCTTGATCCACAGAAAGAAATCCTGGAGAATTTAATTAACCCCTCAGGCTGTTAGGGTAGATGAGTTATTTGCAGGGCTGGGGACAGCAGTTCCGTGCTCCATAGACTGCTGTGAGACTACCAACAGAGGAGGGGTTTATTGGACACTGTGGCTGGCCAGAAACTTCTAAGCTGTTACCCAAAATCCTGGTAGAAGCAGGAACCTGTCTAAATCTGAAAGAATAGTCACTTTCCTCTCCATTATCATATCTGAATACCATAGCAGACTCAAAGGGAGCAACCTGAAAGGATATTGTTATGAAAGGAAATAATACTGTAAGCATAAACATGAACCATTGTCTTTATCCTTCATCTCTCATTAAATGCAGATGAATGGTACTGGAAGGCTACAACATCCTTCTGGGGCAGTTTATGAAGGCAACTTCAAAGACAACATGTTTCATGGGGCTGGAACCTACACGTTTCCAAATGGAGCAAAGTACATTGGACCATTCAATGAAAACAAGTATGTTTGAAGTGGATGAGTCATGTACTCTTTTCTCTCATTTTTGATTTAATAAGCTCTAAAGTCCAAATAAAATTCACCCTGCATGGGAGTAGGTTTCTTTTGCTACCAGTGAAACTTGCTCTGGCTACCTGAGATTGCTGATCCCAGTTCATGAGATCAGTGAAAAGCCTGAGATTCATTCCCAGTCAGAAGTTTTTGAGATGGTTATTCAACTCACCCACTTTTTGTTACCAGGTCTCTGGGCTCAGGCAGAGTTCAGAGAAACAGAACAGTTCAGACCCCTTACAGAGCCGTTGTGTCAGGCTGTCTGCCTTCAGATGCATGCAGAAAGAGAGCGCTGATTTGCGCTGATAGTTTGCAAAGTTTGTATTTACTTATTTTTTGAGGTGAGGTACAAATTTCAGAGAGATGGGAAAATGTGGGGGTTTATTTTCATCACTCAGAATAAAGTATTTTAGAGCCACTCCTCATCATCAGCAGCCAAGTTCATTTCTTTTGAATAAAGGTGTGTGTTTGATACCACCTTTTCCTAAAACAAGAAGTCAATACCTACTTCATAATCCACAAAGCAGATTTAATGAGAAGATTAACCATTAAAAAATGAAATGAGAACATTCATGTTTATTCCCCTTAAATGACTTCTCTGTCAAATTTGCTAATTTGATTTAGGTTTAATTTTTCTTTAAGTACCTCCCCAGTCCAGTATCTGAAATAAATCTAAAATGTATGTTTGTTAATATGTGGTCTTTCATCAGAAAAAAAGCTCTGTCTTGCCCTGCTGACCAAAAATAATAGCCACAATAGTACTAGAAGGATGACCAATTCTATTTTTAAATGTTCAGACACCAAATGTTACAAAATGTACCTGGATACAATATGGGAACCTGTACGACAGTTCCAATGTTTGGGGAAAGAATAGAGACATTTATTTCAATGCTTTAGAAGAGATTGAGTTAAGTTACGCCTCAATTACAGTGGCATGTTAAAATCTGCTTCAGGACTTTGGTCTCTTGCTGTCATATGAAGTGACAGATGTGAATTCTGCATGAAGCCTAAACCTGTGAGTACTCATCACTTCAGCATAGATCATATATGAAGCTTTACAGGCATTTTCTCTTAAAAATCTTTGGGTGATGCCTCTACTCTCCTGTGAAAATACAGCCCATCGTTGCAAAGGGGCCAGCATAGTGCTTGTCACTAGTAGCTGATCTCTAGAGAAAACCAGCTGGTTCTGATTTGAACTCGTGATTTCAAGGAACTAAAATGCTGACGTAGATCTGCCCTTGACGGCAGAGATCCACTGCTGTTTTCACAAGGGAATTAAGACTTCTCCTTTTTGATGCTGGTTTGTGACTGTTAATACACCCTGACAGCCCGATGACAGGCTATTTTGCTGAGTTTCAGGATTGCTAGTTTCCACCTACACATGAGACAAGTGTCAGTTCACCGGATCACTGTGGCTTTCGTGGGAGAACATAACCAGGCAGCACCATAGCAACTTGTGGTGACTGCTGGGTGGCTTCATTTTTTAAGGGAAACACATCTCCACTAATTGATTTGCAAAGTTATTATCCCCTCATTTGCAAGGGATGCTGATGCATAGGCATTTCTTCTGTATAGCAGTTTTCAAGTATAACGATGAGCTTGGTCACAGCTCTCAAAGATCAGCAGAAATAATGTGGTTTATGAGGACTGAATTCACAAGGCAGTTACTTTTTCCATTCCCCCCCCATCCCCCCACAGGAGACTGTAAATCCTCGCATTTTGTCATAACATCATCTAGCAGGATGGGGAAAGGGTGAGAGAGGGTGGATTTTTACAGCAAGAAGATGACACAGTAACTGGCTGCATACACTTACCCATCTTTAAGGTGCCCCTAATGAAAGCCTGGAGAAACTTCAGAGGACTTAATCCCTCCTAACTTTAAATCATGACTGGGACTATGATGTTTTTCCTGGAGAGGCTACATGCTGGGAGGATGCTAGTATAAATACGGTGTTGCAAAGAAAGGAATATGTTCCTTGGCTGTCTAACCCCTGTGCTTTGTATGTCAAAACTTTTAACAGGCTAGGACGTAGGAGAAAGTCAAGGCAGGTACTTACCACTACACCGGGGAGGTTCTGATTCCTGGCAGTTTGCTTATCTCGGCAGTGCACACACATCACCGTGCTGCCACAGACTGACTGCGTTCTCAACAGGCTGGATTTATGTCATTACAGGATGGAAGGTGAAGGAGACTTCATAGATGAAAATGGAGTGGAGTGGAGTGGCACATTCCATGGCACAGCAGCATTGGGACTGAAGCAGAAGTTGAAAATGTAGCTGTTTGGCACCGACAGTGGCACGGGTTAAAGGCAGCTCTCTGATTGCATTCTGGGCTCAACAGCTGTGACCAGTTTTCAACAGGCATTGATTTCTTCATATATTTATTAATAATAACCCCTGAGGATGCATGTCAGTAATAAATAAAGTGAAGTTTGTTTTTTTTTCTTTTCACACTGATCAGCTGAAATCTCCTAGGTGAAAACCTTAAAGAAATGAGGTTGGATAGGGTGAATTTATAAGTGACGCAGTTGATGATGACTAGAATTCTTTTTTTATTTATTTTAACTTGCCCTAGGAATGTCTTTCTCTCTGCATTTCACAAAAAAAAACCCAACCTGTCATCAACAAATGAAGCCTCATCTATGCTCAACTTTTGTAACTTTTCCCAGGAAAATAAACCTCTCCACCCAGGGAAGCTTTTGCAAACACAGCACTCGTATATGATCATGTTTACCTTAAGCCACGGTGGGGTCAGGGCAGAGAGCAAGTGCAGCTGTAGTGTGGCAGTTCCTCCCCACAGGTTGAGCCCATCAACCCCAGGCTCCAGTACCCAACTGCTTAAGGACAGACCTCTGCCATGCACCAAAGCTGCTTTTCTCTGGGAAGGGCAGTAGCTAGAAGAGTGCACAGGGGATGCTGATCACTGCCACTGTCCCATCAGAAAGTCTAATGCAATGAAAAATCTTGCTGTTTGCATTTGGTCACCAAAAGTCTCTGCATTAAATGAATCTAAATGCTTTGCTTTACAAAGCAGAAAAACTGCTTTCTAGTTTTTTAAAAAAACCAACCACAACATACCAGTGCTGTCAGGAAAAAATGTCAAGTCTTTGCTTGCCAGATATTTAATGGGAGTTTTAGTAAATCCTTGTCCTTGCTTCCATTTGCAGATGCAATGTAAAAATGCTGTTCCTTCAGATGTGCCTTCAAATACTCGGCTCATTTTGCTAGGATTTGGAAAAATCTTGGTCCCTGTGGTTTCTTAGCAAAATGAATAAACCAGCACGTTATCAGTGGACTGAAACATAGTGGGCCATCTGAAACAGAGCAGCTCATGGATCATTTGGCAATATAATGCCTTTCAGCCCTCTTTGTTAAAACTGCCTGTAGGAAAATCTCTATTTGAAATGTTTTGTTCACAGATTTGTGAAGCTAAATATTTATTTATTTATTTATTTATTAAATCTTTCCTAGCTTGAGCTGTTTGTTGGTTTCACAGCTATCTTTGACCCACCAAAAAGACTTCAGAGGTAGCAGCATCTTCCACAGAGCTTCTCTTGATCTATGAGCCTGTCCTTTCAGCTCCTTTACAAGGACTCCACGTCACCACATTTATCTGTGCTGCACAGCAATTACACTGATTGAGGCTGTGCGGTTTTTATATATCAGGTTTTCTGCCTGTAGGGTAGATTTGAAGCAGATCTTTGTCTTCCACAGAGAAATTAGTCTGCCTTTTGTTACTGTTCCTCCTCCTTTGTGTCTTCCTGCTCTTAACACTTTGGAGTAACTCACTGGATTAGCTTAAACCTTTTCCTGACACCCCTGGCCTTGGGTTACCTGCATTCTCCCCACACTTTCGCGACGCCCTTCAGAGCAAGAAGCCTTGCAGGGCCTTAGTGAAGAAGTGGAGCAGGGGTGGAGGACTGCTGCCTTCCACTCTCCCGCTTCCCTCCAAGCCCGTATTTATTTTTACTCAAAGGAAATTTTTAATGATCTAACAAGCAACAGAAAATACACAAGTGCTGGTGGTTGCTGTGCCTCTGCCAGGGCTACTTTGGCAACCTTGCTCTTGGCTCCTGAATGAAAGAAGGTGAGCTCTCTTGGCCCTGCCATCCCTAGGGACACCATGCATGGTAGGAGACTGAGGGTGTCAGAGAAAGTGGGGAGGAGCTGGTCCTGTCTCCCTGTCCCCAGCTGCAGGCTGCCTCGCTTGGGTGCCACAGGAGGTACTTAAGAACCTCCGAGCTCGGCGAAGCAGCAGAGACCACATCAGCACCCAGCTCTCACCGCACGGCCCCGCCGCTTCACAAGGCTTCTCGCTCTCCCTTCCCAGCAGTGTGCAATTCTAATTAAAAAGGGAAAAAAAAAGTCGGTATCATCTTCTTCCAAGCGCCCAGCCCTGATTTTTGCATGGGGATCCAAGGATGTGACCCGAAGATTACATAATTAGAAGGCATTTGTTATGCCTGCGTTTCAAATCAGTGATTAGCATGTGACAGTCCCATCCTGGGAAACGTCAAGCCACCATTGCTCTCCTCTCTCTCCTTTCTTGCACAGTGCTAATTCCCAACTCTGGCAACTGCCAGTGCTGAAGGATCTTCACCTAGCCTGGGGTAAGTTTAAAATGTACTTGGCATGGGATGAAGATTGAGATTAATAATACAATTTTTCATGTTATTGGAAAAGGCTAGAGCTGTAGCTCTTTAATGTTGCATGTGCAGCACATAAAATGATATTTAAAGCTTTTTGCATCTTCAGTACCCACAGTTACTTCCAGCTGATTTCTTCTAGGACTGTGTATAGAGATCTAGCTTATTAGTGTGCTGGAGAATCTTGTGAGGTTGTATTTATATTAAGGTCTCCAAAATGTCAAGTTAAAAAGACCATTTTTTGCTCTTACTGTTTAAGAGGTAAATTGTGGTCTCGTACTGAATTGAAGTATTTGAATGACAACTGCATTAGAGTCAGCTGGAGACAAAGCGCGAGAGTGAGGAGAGTAAATCCCTGATTTTTTTTGCTCTCTTTAGAGGACTGGGAGTTGTTCTCCAAGTGGGAGATTTAAAACAGCCGGCAGGATTAAGACAGT